AGTGGATGGACATGGTATAAATGATTTCCTTTCTTAAAAAATGCGAGTTACATTTCACTTTCAATATATTTTAATATACATTTTTTAAGATTATGGTGAATGGCCACTCTACAGTAAATGAACGCGAAGTCATGCGGACTGCAATTCAAGCTGACCACAGCTCAGGGTGAATTCGTGTCACCCCTGTTACTGTGGCAAATGGGCGCACCATTAGATTAGCTGCAATTGGCATTAGTAACTCTGGAGAAGCTTTTGCAAACTCATCTTCTCTTTATTTGAGGTGGGAACTTATCAGTTGTAATGAGATGGCTAATTGGGATGATGCTGATAATTTAGAGAGGTCGGAGCACAGTTGGGAGAGGTTATAGAGCTTGAAAAACTAGTCAGGCCTGGTACTTCGAGAATTTCATTGTTCTTTGTCTTTATATTATCATCTCTTAGTTCTGTTATTAGATTGACAAAATTTATGTCCAGAGCTTTAACTCAAGAAGTGAGACCTCATCAACTGAATTTGTTTCTAGATGCATATGACGTTGAAGTATCAAATTTCCTTATTTTGTTATTGGGGTTTCTTTTTGGCCCCACTTCATAGTATGTAAGGGCTATATTATGTTTTCCTTACCTTGATGTTTATATGCTAATATTGGGTATGAGCTAACATGTTTAATCCTTTGCTTCTTAGTGTACAGTTCATGCTACTGCCATTGGTTTCAGGGATAACATGGGTGGTCATTAGTCTGTTCCATTGCTTGATAGTCCAGAGAATGTTCTTGCAGATGCAATTCGTATACAGGTATAATTCTTCTTTCAATTTTTTACTATATTTTCCTAAATGCATCCTTTCATATTTAGTCTTTTAATCTTCTAAATCTGTCAATCTCACGTTTAAATTTTTTAATACCGAGTAGCTAGTTTCTACTCTAATGGTCAGCCCAGAGTTCAATCTGGTGTTTTTCAATCCCAATGCTAAGGTAGGCTCTGAACACATTATCAATATTCTATTATTATGGCTTTTAGTAAGTAACCATGTCTAGTTTCTGGGCAGATCGTACTCTTTTTTACTACTTTCCGTATTTATTTATTTTTTCTTTTGGCTTCTATTATCCGTAATATCTCCATTTGGAATCAGTTAATTATCTCTGTGGAAAAATGGGGAGAGAAAGAAAATAAAGTAACACAAATTGCAACCCTCCCTTTTGCAACAAAGTGGTTGTAATGACTAAGGTAGAGCTGTGGAATGCCTCGGACCTGTCGTCCTGTGCATAAGTGCTTTGGTATACGAAAACCCTAACGTAACATAAATTTTCCCAGAGAAATACCGGCTAAATCACAATAATGTCTACCTCCTTGGAAGGTTGTTTGCTCAAAGATACCTTAGAACGCTGGGAATCACAGGCTCATCCATTATGTAGCTTTGCGCAAAGATCTTCAAGTTAATTTGGGAACTTTTGGCTCTTTATATCGATTGGCCTTCTCGTCCTTCGTTTTTTGAGTTTCTTGCTAGGGCTTAAAGTTTTTTCTTTCTCTGCAGGTAAATTATAACGCCAAAGGGTTTTGGCGAACGAGACAATTGGTAAGGTGCAGTGCATATTATATTTGTTACCATTTCTTGAATTTTCTCGTTTGTCTAAAATATTTTTTAATTCCTTAAGTTCTTTAATCCATCAGATCAAACTCCTTGCACTGCTCCTACCGATGACAGTCAACAACTCCCTTCTCTCCTCCCTCCCTCTTACCAAGCTCACTGAGGTTTGATGTCCCATCCCGAGGCTGATTATATGCTTCTGTTATGATATGTTAAAGTGAATTAAGTATCAATAATAAGAAGAGTAATGAGAGGGCAACAATGCTGTATAGTTTGAAATCTCAAGGATTGCCTTTATTTCTATTTCCTGAGTCCAAAAAAACATTGCACGCAATATGATTTCTAATTATCTTTCTTTATCCTTTTCCAGGTTTTGGTTGATGTACATGCAGACCCCAACTTTCTGGTGGCATATGGTAATATTCAATTGTTTGACCCAATTCCTTTTCAGATTTAAGTTTCTATTCCACTGCTGTTGTCCATAAAGCTGCATTTTGAGGCACTCTAATCAGCTTCTCTTTTTATGTTGCCACAGAATCTCTTCTTATGTTGCTAATTGGGTCTGCTTGGTTGTTAACCTTTGTGCAGGATCAATTAGTCTGTAACAGGAATGGTTCTCGATTCAATTTTTGTCATGTTGGGATCATAGTTAGTGTCGAATTTTGTAAATCTGGAGGAATTCTAGGCTATTTATTACAAAAGCTTTGAACAATTGGTAGAAGAAATAAAAGCTTTGAACAATTCTAGGCTGTTCTAGTCATGGTGCAAGGTCTGTCACTCAGTACTTTCACTGCGTCACGTAGTGGTGGGCTGTGTGGATCGATGCCTTCGTGGAGGAAGCATTTCAAATTGATGGGGAAACCCGGATAAGCTCTGGTATTGAAAGGCATGGTAGCTGCCACCTGTGCCATCAAAGCTTGGTCTTTGGAGGTAACCGGGGATATGTCAAGAGTCTCGAGACAAAGGAGCGTGAGGGTGGAACCTGGGTGGCTGTATAAAGGGGGTGATCAGGGAAGCTCCGAGCGAAGGGAGAGTGCTAATGAGGATATTCTGATATTCATTTTCCTGCTCGACCTGGCAACTCGAGTACATGTTTGATAGGGATCATTTTATAGTTTTCATATTGTAGTAGGTTAAGTGGTACAGAATATCTCTCAATTTCTCTCGACTTTGTTAGTCTAACAAGCATTTGCCTTTTTTTGGGGTGCATTGGCGAGAAGAGTCTATCAGTGCAGCCTTGGTCAAGTTTACTTGATGTGGCGATGATTCCAAATCAAATAGAGATGGACTCCAGCACAGTTAATAACTTGAGGCAATTACTCGTGAACATCTCACACTGATTATTTGTTCATACACAAGCAGATAGCATGGTGTTGCTGAATGCTGATGGATATATTTTGCTATGCTTGACACTGACAGTAACACACTAAGATAGAAGCAAGTGTCAAACTAAAGTATTAGGGCCAAACAATGACTTGACCAGGGTGAGGGTGGTGATCTACTTGCTCCTCAACTCAACGTGTAAAAATACATGTCAAAAATATCAAACAAGGATACCTACTTCTGATGGAAAGATAAATAAATTTGTGAATAAATTGCACAAGCATGCTGCCTTCCTTCCTACATAACTAAATTTGCGAATAAATTGCACAATAATAGAAGAAAAAACTTGTATCATAGTGGTGAATTTCTTCAACATAATGGAGTGTTACTCTTGCAATTCTCTTGAAATCTGAGTTGTCATCCTCAGCAAAAAGATAATCTTTGAAATTAGTGATTAATAGTAGAAACCTTATTGGTGATCGATATGTGCTCGCATATTAACTCGATAGATTCAGTCATAAATTTAATCGCTAAAATCTCTTCATTGAACAAGGTACATTCAACCTGTGCAGTTTCCATCCATGAACTTGATAGCCTGGATCCATTCCACAAACCACACCTCAATAGCCTGAACACGTAACATAACATAAGAATCATACAACAGAAGTAAACAGGAAAGGAGAAAAATAATCAATGAAGCACATAAATCCAGTTCCGCTCATTCCATGATGATTCATAGAAAATCTAGGGGATAAAAGTTATTACAACACAAACCACACGCACCTGTTACTGCTAGAACAGCTTTTAGAGAGCAAATCCTTCAAGAACACAGAGAAGTATAGCCAAACTTAAGACAAAGAGATGTGTCCAATTAGCATTCACTCAGGCCGATTAGCACAACGTTTAACATTTTAGTTTCCTACGTATTGAATCTAAGCAGAGATCGATGATGTGTGTCTATAAGAATTAACAAGCGATCACGGAGAGGGAGGCTGGGTATGATCATCTGGGCAGGGCATATGTAAATAATAATATTTAATTTATATACGTATAGGAATAGGAAAAATAGGATCACGTTTTGACATAAAAATAAAATCATTAAAGGAAGGCCTTTAGCTGGGAAATGCATGCTTGTTATAAAATAAAAGTGACAACAGAGAGATTACATATAGCTCTCACTAATCTAGTAGTTAATTAATCTGTAGTTAGTACCACTAAACTCTGATCCCAGAGGTATAACATCGAGTTAACTACACTCAAACTCATCTGTTTTATCGTTTTTAATTTATTTATTTTCTATTATATAATGCTATAATTGATCCCAATATATCGGGTTGAAGTGAATTTCTTGGATCACAATTTAGTTCTCGAGGCTGCTGCTTTTTGATTGCATTCAAAGTAATGTGCTGTTATTAAAGGTCCAACCAGATCGGTCGATCGATCAATGCCGTGGAAAACATATAAAAATATAGAATCTAACGGATACCTTGGAAATACAAAGTTATTTAGGTATAAGGTATTATTACTCATCCACTCAATATTTTCACATAGGCCTTAAGCAAGCTCATCTCCATCTCCCTGATTCTCTCTCTATCTCATACACACGTGTGTGCAGGCATATATATATATATATATTGACGCATACACTCAGGAAACTACAAAATATCCATTACTTTGAGAATGGATATGATTTTCCTTCTTAAAGATTCACAACTTCTGTAAAAGTAGTTGATAATACAAATGAAGTACCTTAATATTTGGGAGGTGTAAGACTAATAACCTTCAGTCTCAACTCCAAACTCCACTCTTCTTTCTTCTAAAGACTTTGATGATATGAGTATATGATGCTCCTGTGCACACAGCTTGCCAAGCCTCTAGAAGAGGAATACCAGGTACAATGTTCCCACATGCATGTTGATTTTATGATCCCGAAGAGAACATACTAATCAAGCCAGCTTCTGCCTAAGGAAAACCAAGGTATGTATATCATTCTGATCTATCCCCGCAAAATTTGGGGTAAATAGCTATGTTATCTCTCCCTGCAAAGAGCCCAATCAGTTCAGGCTCTGTACTAGGAGGCATTCTTTTGATCTTGTGTTAGGATTATACTCAAGATCGACAGCAACTACATAGAAAACGAGGGGGAAGAAAACAAATAAGTATTATCAGTTTTAACTTAATTCTTTTGCACGCTACAAGTTTCTTCATGATTTTGCGGTCTTTAGGAAAAGATGAAGGAATATATATAAGTCGCAGGAAAACCAAACAACCAGAAAAGAAAAGAAAAGAATGAAGAACTTTTAGACTATAATTAGGAGGACACCACCTTAGACATGAAATTATTTTGCTCGGAAAACCATATATTATTTATAATTCTTAAGATTGTTTACTTTTCTCAGGCTTAAATGCGCAAATAGTTAAACAAGACAAATCCGCTAATGCAACTTAGAAAACCAGTAGCAGTAGTACATTGTTTTCTCATTGATGAGCAGCATAATCACTAGGATAGGATATGAAAACCCTCCCCTCAAAATAAAGAAATAGAAATAACCAGGTCCGTAGCTAATACAGCAATTAATTAACTTCTTACCATATATTGTTCCAGCTGAGCATCATGGCTGCAGGTCTTCTTTCATTATTTCATGATAATCTCCTTCGTTTGGGTTTTGATGACTCGCGCACTTCCAGCGGGTATCGGCACAGGGGACACAAGTGATTGATCTGCAGCCACGGGACGATGCAATCTTCGTGAAATTGGTGTAAGCAGGGCAAGCGTTTGATCGTCCTTGGTGGATGGCGACAATCAACCCCTTGACCTTGATCTTGATCATGATGATCATCTTGAGAAGCAGGGACGGCATTAATATGATCAGAGTGATGATCATCATGATGATCAAGGAGGAGGCCCTCCATACAAATAATACATGAGGACAACGGGGCCAAAGTAGGATCATCAAGCCTCACATTCTCCAAGCCCTGAATGGATGATTGAGCTGCAGGAATAAGCATGGCCCTGTATGCTTCCGAGGATTGCCTCATAACCCTATCAAGGATGTCGTTGTTGTGGTCCGACTTCAGATAGTGATAAGTGGCATCCACAATATGCACAAGAATTGGCAACTCAAAGCTGTGGTTGTCGGCCTCTTCAGTGTAGTCAAGTATTCTTACAATGAGAGCTGGCTGCGCACCTTGTGGGACACCCATCTTGGAAAGATGATAAGCCAAGACATGCGTCCATTTAGGCCTTGATGAAAATTGCTTGACATCACGCATAGGGACATAGAAACTCCTCTCAGCAAGGAGGTGATATGTAGAAGCATAAGGAAGTTCTACT